TTATCTATGTCCTGATTTTGCCCCATAACTTCTGGAAATCACAAGGGTAACCCCTGAGACCAAAACAAAAGAGCGGAGAGGCAAATGAATTACATTCTGAAGTTTACACATACTGTACAATAAAAAATACACTATTTATGAAAATAGCTAATGCCACCAAATAGGAATGTTTGAACAAATCCAAAGAAATAATAAAAATAAAGTACTTTATACCAGGTTTTAAATTCAGCAGAGTAATAGTCTGTTTAGATTTCATAATGAAAGCATACATAGGAATAAAAATAAAACCCTAACAATAGAAACTTCTATAATAGTAAAAATCTAAACTGAATTTTAGATATACTTTATAAAGCTAAATTGACCAAACTCTAAAATTTTCAATGTTTGTAATTTCTCCTGAATTATTGCTAAAAATATCAAATTTTCTGGGATAGCAGGGCTAAACCCTAAAATATGCAAAACAAACAAAAACACTAAACATACAGGTTAATCTTAAATCAAAGGAAACAAAAAACAAGTTACCAACCAACCAAACAAACAAAAAGAATGTCTTCTCCATATTGCATTAATTTGATTGTTAGAGTGTACTTTTTTTTCTCCTTTGGAGACAAGGTCTCACTCTGTCATTCAGGCTAGAGTGCAATAGTGTCATCATAACTCACTGTGACCACAAACATAGGGCTCAAGTGATCCTCCTGCTTTAGCCTCCTCAGTAACTAGAACTACACACTCCCCCCACACTTGCCTACTGTCCTTTTTTTATCCTTTGTAGACAAAAACCCTAAGGTCCTAGGATTACAAGGCATGTGCTACCATACCTAGAATGTACTTTTAATGACAAATTTAATTTTGCCTCCTCCAGCTGGTCTTTGAGTTTTAGGATAAAGTTCAAATACAAATTACTATTATGTATTACTGAATTCATATATTTCAAATTTCATTTTAAAAATATACCTTGCCTTTCTCATACCTAAATAATATGTTTTCTTATCAGTAATGAGCCTCATGATTTAGTAATTTATTTCTTGTACAATAATGCTTTATGGAGAGTTACAGTTAGTTTTTATATCCTTATATTTTTATAAACAAAAATCCTAAATACTTCAGGGTAGATCTTCTAATCTGGTATGCATTTTAATCATTGAAACTTATTCTTTTGCCCAGTTCCTACAGGTTTCACTACGAAGCTAATGTGTCAGCAGATACAGACCTTGTATTCTTTTTTCTCCCATCCACTATTTGTCTAATAACAAATAAAAGTGGGAAGTTAAAAAGAAAGCAAATGAATTCTTTGTCTCACTATGGACAGATGCACTGAACTCACATTTCCCAAAGGAGAAAGGAGAAATTTAAAAGCAAATAAAGGTCACAAAATATGTAACAAATGTTCAAGGAAACAAATGTATGAACTGCAAGGTCAGATGGCTTGCTCTGCAGAATTCTGGACGGTGTGGTAACAAAGGAAAATATTGAGAGCTAGATTCTAATCTAGGACACACAGCACCCACATCAGGCAAGTTTGCAGCTACATTAAACAAAAATGTGCCTGCTTGTTTGAAGTTAGAATTTGGCAATTAGTAATCTTATTTAAAACCTTTCACAAAGAGATGGTGAAATAGAAGGATGTTAGTACTTAGATATTTTAGGGAAAGTTATCAATGAAAATCTAAAAACATTCACAATTTGAAAGTGCTAGCATTGAAAATATGAAGTTACAACAAAGAAAATATGCTTATAATTCTTTTTCAGGCAAAAAACAGAGAAAGAGAAAAAAGACAGTCTTTAAGTTTAATAAGGTTTTCAAATAGATAGATAACCTGTCAGGTCAATAAGAACAGTATGCAGCAGAAACCATTTCAATGGATTGAGATGAGGCTAGAGGCAAAGCCAACTGCAGCCTTTTTTTTTAAGTACCAAATGAGAATGATAAAAGTGGAAGAAGTCAATAGAAAGAGTGAAAAGAAATTATCAGACATGTTTATAAGAGCCTGTCCAATTTAACACAACTTGCCTTTACACCTGGAATGCAAAGAAGTGAATAGCCTCTAAAACTTTATTGGAGAAAAGAAAACCACAGGAGAAATGATCAAGATCAAAACTCTAGTCCTTAACAGTTACAAGCAAATGTGGATTATAAGATTGTATATGAAGGGGATTCAGGTTCTGATTTAATATTTAGTATAACAAATATCATTGTTGAAACATTTCCCAGCATATATAAAACCTCTAACATCTCTAAATAGTTCTTTGGAGTTCTACATTTGTAAGATAGTACATAGTTACCTGGAAAGGGAAAGCAAAGAGGTCTAAATCAACCAGAAGTCATGTGTGCTAATTTTTTAAATTGAACAAAGAAAACGTCCCAGACAGCCAAATACCAAAAAAAAATCACAAATGAAAGCATTATAGTTTATGCTAGTGTGATAATAATTAGTGTATCACAAATGATAACATTATAAATTATCATACAAGTGAACACTTCAACTCTGTATTAAGATAGGGTCAATATTTATACAGCCAAACAAAATACAGTACCCCTATGTGTTTGATTATGAATTAGAGTCCCTTAGAACATTAAAGTTATTAAGAGCTCTAGGGGGCAGGAGGAAGACAAAAATGACAATATTTAATTTTCATGAAACATTTGCAACTAATACAGAGTGGCTCTGTTCTTGGAATGGGGCCAATGCATTTGATTCCTTTTTTGATCAAAGAGGATTTATGATAGGAAGCAACTAGAAGACTTTCAAAATATTTTGGAAAGAAATTATATTGAGTTCTTCTAATCTTGCTTGGAAAAAAGAAAAAAATGGAAGTGCAAGGGACAGAAAAAAATAGGTTTGCGACCACCTGTTCTCATCAAAAGGCACTTTTCCCCCCCACATTTTCTCACAATTTTCTTTGAAAAAAGATGTCTAGGTACCTATTCTTTCAGAGAATAATTAAATGACACAGTATTGAAAGAAAACTCAAAACAACACAATATCATCCCAATGAAAGCTGAAGGAAAAACTAATCTAAGATACAGATACTTATGAAGGTTTATGAAGGAGAAAAGGACAGGGTAACATCTTTAAGGTTAAAAGAAGAAGCTCTCTGCTACATATTTTCCAAAAAGGGAGTGCAATTAAAGTGAGATAAATGTCTAATCCATCTTTAATTAATTAAAATAAAGAGAGATACACAGGACTCAGGGCAACAATAGGCTGCCCAAATCCAAATAATCTATCATCAAACCAGGTTTGCTTAAACAGAATTTCAGGTATAGTTCTCACATTAATATTTTTAGATAAATTTTCCACCAGGAAGAAATAAGCATGAGGAATATTTTGTTATTGAAAATAAAACATTTCTGCTGCAAGCAGTGACTCATGCATGTAATCCCTAGCACTCTGAGAGGCTGAGATGGGAGGATCACTTGAGCTCAGGAGTTCAAGACCAGCCTCAGCAAGAGCAAGACCCTGTCTCTACTAAAAATAGAAAAATTAGCCAGGTGTAGTAGATGGCACCTGTAATCCTAACTACCTGGGAGGCTGAGGCAAGAGGATCACCTGAGCCCGAGTTTGAGGTTGCAGTAAGCAAGGATGTTGCCACTGCGCTCTATCGGAGGCAACAAAGAGACTGTCTTCACAAAAAAAAAAAAGAAAAAGAAAAAGAAAAAAGAAAAGGAAATGTTCCTGGTTTCAACCATTTTTAATGATCTCCCTTTTCCAGTCTTCCTTGTACCAATCCTGAAACCACTCATGTATTTTCTCTTTCTCTTGTTAATGAAAACACACCGCATTGATTGTAAGAATCTTACTAGATTTCCATTTGTTTTGCCTCAGCTCCTACATTAATCCAAACAATAAGGGCCTTTAAAACATTCATAAATAACCTGCTGCTGCTGGCACTTAGGAGCCAACTGCAGCAATGTTAAGCAACAACAAATTTCATACTTCAAGAGGCACAGTTAAGGAAAAAGGTTCCTCAGAAAATCACTCTTATTTAGCACAAAGATCCTTAAAAATTGCATGAAATCAGTCAAGTAACTATAGAAACCAATTTCTTCAGCTCCATATAACATGTCTCACACCTCAATTGTCTTTATTATCGTTTGCTGTCAGATCCTTAATCAGAAATGTGAACAGGCTTGATGATTTATTCAGGAGGGAAAAGAATCTGTAGGTCAAGTGAAAAATTTCACACACACAGCCATACACATGCCACATCTTCAACCTTAGGTACTTTCATTTCATTCTGTTCTCAGCAGCTCTGGGGGCAACTCCAGTGAGATCCAATATTAAGGCTCAATTAAAATAAGCTCCAATTAGTGGAGCTTTTTTCTCTGGGGCTAGAGAAGTCAGGAAATGGATATTGGGAAATGTAAAAAGTCAGCTACTGAGAGGAGGCTGCAGACATAAATGAACTTATTTGTTGATTTCTACAGTTGCTATGCAGAGGCCTCTGGGAGTAAAAGCTTAACCAGTCTAAGCTATAAACTAAAACCCCTGCAGCTAAACATGAACTGTGTGAAACAAGGGCTCCATTCCAGAACAGAAAACTGCTGGGCCCAGAAAATTAAAAGCCAGAGGCGTTTTCCATTTAAAACTAAATCCCAGTACCGCCTCCCAGCCAAAGAATTATAAGCAGTATCAGATTTACAAAACGAACAATTACCCTGGAAAAATGTAGCCTATTGTATAGTCCCAGATGCTAAATCTCAAAAGTTTCTTTTTTTTTTTCTTTTAATCCCACATTATATTCCTCCAAGTACACTGTTGTAGCTTACAAAGCCATTTCTAGACAGGCCTGAGCCTTGAAAATAAATTTTAAAAAGAGAGCACATAACTCATTGACCTCATTTGAAGTACTGCCCTTGCCTGTAGCAGTTCCTGTCCTTCCCCAAGGCCTCTGCAAATGGTATGCAACAGCAAAATAAACCCTGACCTAATTGCCAGGAGAGAGCTGCCAACCTTCCCTCAGACACAAAGACAAGCATGGCAACTTGAAAGTCCTACCTCTTTGGCTTTCTGCTTTAATCTCAGCTGTTCTGGATCTTCTTTATTGGAACGACTCTATCAAAGGAAAAGAAAATTTTAATAGAAATTACTAGCATCTAAACACCACAGTTGCCGTTAAATATTTAATAAATGACAATTTTCTCTTGTGATTGAATATCTTAGCTCCAGGGGAAAATGCCTCAATCCAGTCTGGCTGTGCTCCCACCCTGTCTCCCCCCCCTCATCATCTGGGCTGGCTGCTGCAGCTCTAGCCTAGAGGAAGCTTATAGTGAAAATGATGCTAACAATGTCAGTCAGGTCCAGTTGAGGCATGAGGTTGTTCTTATTGGAATACTGAAAACTAAAAAATGGATGGTACACATGAAGGGGAAAAAAAGAAGAACTGTTGGCTCAAATGAATGAAAACAACAAACACTGGCCGATCTTGACGCAAAGCCATTTCAGAAAAACATGGTATTTAAAGGACTATTAAGATCAAGAACCTGATAACTTTGAACCAAATCCTTCTTTTTAAAAGCATAATATCTAAATGTGTAAGTAGGAAATCTATCCCAGCATTTTAATTATAATATCATCTTTGGATGATAAGTACTTAATAAGATGCTGTGCAGAAGTACAGGTTCAATAAATCTTTACTGAATGTCACTTTCCATAGTATATGACCAGCATAAGAAGAGAACCATCAAAAAATAAAATAAATAAAATTTTTAGAAAGAGATTATCTATATATAAAGCTATGATGGAATAAAGGATCAGAATTTTATTTTTGACATCATGAATATTTGTTCACTGAAAAGTATACTGGGATAGATGTTGTCTTTTTTCTTATCCTAATAAAGTTATTTAACTGCTTATAAATCTGAATATTCATTCTATAAAGTGCAACCTTAACCTTACCTAAGTTAAAGACAGCTAGCAAAATAAAAGCTAGAGGTATTTCCATAAATACTAAGTTTACCTGATCTTTTACAGATTTACCAGTAGTTTTGTTAAAGGAAAAAAAGAGACAGTCTGTTTAGATTTGAGTGCCTTCTAATATAAACATCTTATTAAATACCTATACAACATTCTACCCAAAGATAGTAATTTTTTCTTCATTTTAACCCCAATTTAGGAAAACAATTTCTAATTTTACATACTAAGATAAATCCTAAGAAACTAAGAAATCCTTTGTGATTTCTCAGAGCTATAGCAGGAGATATATAGGAGATAATGAATATGCTTATGTATGTATTTATGTAAAACTATGCACACATGTACCTATGTATATATAGGTAGGTATGTATATATAATTTTTTACCCCAGTATAAAATGGGTACATGTGGTATCAAGACTTTTATCAGTTCATCGGTATTTACTGGTCATATACAGTACAGATTCTACTCTGTCTGCCACTGTTCTAGGTCAAAGTCCTTGCTCTCAGGTATCTTACATTTTAAGAAGCGAAAAATAATAATAAAATTTATAAAATTAATTGCATTTATAATACATGAAACATTTCTTTTTTTTCTTCTTTACAGACTCTCACTTTGTCGCCCTTATTAGAATGCTGTGGTGTCACAGCTCCCAGCAACCTCCAACTCCTGAGCTTAGGCAATTCTCTTGTCTCAGCCTCCCAAGTAGCTGGGACTACAGGCACCCACCACAATGCCTGGCTTTTTTTGTTTGCAGTTTGGCCAGGGCTGGGTTTGAACCTGCCACCCTCAGTATATGGGGCCAGTGCCCTGCCCACTGAGCCACAGTCGCTGCCCACATGAAACATTTCTGATGGGTAAAAAATATAAAACAAATAATTGCTGATACTAAGTGCTATCAAGAAAACAGAAGGACATGACAAAAATGAAGAAAGAGGAATGCAGTAAGTACTTTTCTAAAGGATGACAGGGAAAACATCTCTGAGAAGTGACATCTGAAGAGAGATCTGAATGACAAGAAAGAAGTATTCATACCAAATTTGGGGGAAGAACATTCCACAAAGAAACAGTAATTGCTAAAGTCTTAAAACAGGAACAAAGACAGGTGTATTTGAAAAAAGAAAGAAGGCCTATGGCCTATGTGGTTGAAGCATAGCGAGCAGTTGTAGTAGAGAAAGGCTGAGATCCTGTGTTACCTTGTAGGCCATGATAGGAAGTTGGAGGTTCAATTCTAGTTATAAAAAGCAAGCCACTGAAGGGTCTGAAGCATAGGAGTGAGATGCCACTGATGTGACATTTTTAAAAGATGGCTCTGACAGCAATGTATCACAGAAGGTGCACTGTAGGGATCAAGATCAAAGGCGCAGGCAGAGACCAATGAGGATACTGTTCTAAAACACCTACTGTGAATAAGAAAATCAAGGATGACGCTGAGGATGAAGCAACTGGGAGGATGTTAATTCCAACTATCTGAAAGGTAAAAAGTTGAGGAAGAACAGATATAGTGGAAGGGAACTCAATGTTCACTTCTAGATGCCTAATTCAAAGTCTAATATTCTAAGTCAGAACTGGCAGGAACCCCCCGATGAAAAGAACTTAGCTATCATTTCCATGTATTCCTGCCAAGACTACATGACCTCAGTCAATCATAGCAAATATCAGATGAACCCTCATTGAAGGTCACCCTACAGAAGGTAAGGTCTGTTCCTCTTGAAAGCTGTCAAGAGCATGAAACAAAGGCTAAGAAACTCTTACTGAAGAAACATGAAGAGATGACAACTGCATGAAATACATATTCCTAACTGGGAAAAAGAACTATGAAAGAAAAATAAACATGGTGTAGCCAGCAAGTGACATCAGAATGGGGTCTGTGCACTCAATGGTAGTGTTATATTGTTGGCTTCCTGACTTGGAGTGTTATATGTATGAAAGAATGTTCTTGTTTTTGAAAATAGCATACTACAAAATTTAGGGATGATGAGATATCATGCCCAAAAACTACTTTCAAAAAGGTTCAGGAAAAAACTAATTAGTGTTAATAGTTATACAACTTCATAATACTAAAAGTGAAGAAAGGAAGTGAAGAAGGGAGGAAGGGAGCGAGGAAAGGAGGAGACTAATGATTGTGTAGAAAAGATGGGTCAAAGGATGGAGATGGAAAGACAATGCAGTAAAATGTTAAAATTGAAGGAATTTGGGAAGGGGGCTAAGAGGTCTTTTGTGCAGTTCTGACAACTTTTCTCTAAGTATGAAATGATTTCAATTAGTTTTTTAAAAAACAATTGGCATGTGATTAGATACAAATACTCTACAAAAGAAGGCAATCAAGAATGCCATAAATTCTAATCAAGTCATCTGAAACAAAAATCAAGACTTTAGTGCTCAGCCCTTAAGAATTCTA